CAGACTATAGTGCTCCAGGGAGGTTTTTCTTTCTGTCTGTGTTTATGTTCCCCTGTATTGTTTTCATTTCTGATTATGTCTTGCGCAATGGATCATATAAGTAGCCCGCCTGAGGTTTGGGGCTCAGAGAACATTGGAAGGTTTGGTCAGTGATGACTCTGTCATAAGGACTATCATAGCTATGTTTTTGACAGTGCTTCCTGACCTCTTTCCTATTCTTTGGCATGTCTGTACTAGAGATTATGGGACATTGAGAGACAGAAATTCTTAATGGGGAACTGAATAGGAAAAGGCTCTTTGGTCATTGAAGGAGGCAGTTGTGAAAGCCCAGCAGCTATGATCGCCCAAATCCTCCAGGTTTGTACTTTGTGGAAACCAATGACTATATCAGCCTAGCCTTTGGTCTCCAAATATCTGACAAGAAATAATGGATGTGATAATAGTCTGTTTGACAGATTGGTGGGAGGAGACGAGGGAGAGGCTCAAGACCAAGAATGTGGCATTGATGTGTCAGGGAGGGAGGAAGGACTAAATTGGGAACATGTGTAACTTCTTATGACTTCTGTTAATTAATGCTGGTGGAGAGAAATTGCGCTAGGCTAAGCAGGGAACAGCTGGCCATCAAATCTGCCCTGGGAACCCTGACAATACTACTTGGAGAGGGGATATGTCACTTTCAGGAGTGTGCTGGAGCCAGCTCTGACCAGCTCTCGGGAGTCAGTTGTTAATCTTTTACTGGGGTCATTTATACCTTGGAAACTGGGAAATACTACAAATCAAGGTCTTGTTGATTTATTGTCTTGTTGATTATATTAGACTTAAAGTGATGAAGCAAATGTTAACAATTCAGATGAAACTTAAAAATTGGAGCCAGTTGTTAAACATTTACTAGCGTGTCCCTGGTTATGATCATTACTGATTGCAATAATTCAATTTGTTTGAAGTAGACCTGTGTTCCTTTGGGGTTCCATGCTCAGAGGATGCTCTTATTTTTGAGATTTTTCTTTGAAGAGATCCTTGTGCTTAGAGTAAAGAATATGTTGGCTTTATTTAGTGGTTTGGATACTGGCAAAGGAGAGACAGCTGTGCAGCTGAGGCTCCTTGGTGTGTGGAAGGAGTTTTGGTAAATAACATAGAGTGAGGAGAATAAATCTGTATGAATGAGAGTTGTTTGGGGGCTTAGAGCCTTGTTCCATTGAGATGAAAAAATTAGTACATGTGAGGCTTGGGGTTGGAAGCTCAGCTGGTCTATAGGGATGCAGTGTGAGTTTAAGGGCATGCAGTGGTTTGTTTTTCTCTGTTGGAGGTCCTGGCGTCCTATTATGATGTCAGCATTGTTGAGTAGTGATAAGAAAGCATGGTTAGGGACCAGGCAAGATAATGGAGTAGCAAGAAGAAGCAGAGCCAAGTTCTGTCTACATAACTATTTCAAAAAGATTTTGAAAATTACACCAGACCGAGACTACACCAGACTGTAATTGAGAAATGTAAGAGAAAAAAATCATGGTGAGTCATTTTTTTTCCCAGCTCAGGTCAGCATAGGGAGACTCAAAAGAGTTCCTGTAGACACTAAAAATGGGGTCTAGCCAGGAGTGGCACTGAGGAGCATTCCAGTACAGAGACTGAAAGAGGGCTGAAGCTGTGTACCAGAATAAGAAGAATTGAGAAGATCTGGAACAAAGGGGCTTGACATTACCAGAAGCAGTAACAGGTATCAAATGGCAGCTGTCATTTATTACTCAGTCCTAGGTCATAGATTCAGTGTGGACTGATTAAAGGGCTTTTGCTGAGGGGTGAAAATCGAGAAATGAAATAGTCACGGGCTTTTTACTGAGCTAGGGGCAAGTACAGAAGTGAATAGAAGCTATATGACTCTGATTCCAGGGCAGTGCAAGGTCTCAGATCCAGCCCCTAGTCCGATCTGAATCCTGCAGCAGAATAACCAGGTCGCGAAGCCTAAATCATAGGGGAGCCTTCTGTTTTGCCACTTTGAACATGCAGAACTTTCCAGCTGGGTGATGGAGTCTGGAAGCAGTCTACTGGAGCTCCAGCCAGGGGCAAGTCTGCAGTTGTGTTTGCTCAGATCCATAGCCAGGCCAGGAACTTGCAGAGCTCACACCAGGAGGGCAGTGCACTGAAGGCCTGCAGGTCCCCAGCCTGAGCTTTCCCTGAGATTCTAGTATAATACAACATTCATTATTACCCAGAGAAAGTAGCAGGAGCCAAGAGACCAAAATAGAACTGAGAACAGCCCAGTCATTACCTCCAGAAGGGCTCTGGCTCTCACACAAAGCCCGAAGTCAGAAAGTAAGGTTGAAAAGAAGCCATCATCATGTCTTGAGTGCAGGTCATCTTGGAGTGAGGTTAGAACAACTTGATCTGCCTACATTATTGGAGACTGGATTGGATACATGATTGGTATGCTCTGTGTGAACGTGATTGAAATTGGTAACATGAAGACTCGAATTCTTCTGCATTTGGCAATGCCCCATATGGCCATATTGTCATCCAGGCCTAAATTTGGGGGCAGCTTTGACCTAGTCTCATAGAAATAGTACTAGGTGCCACTTTTCAAATACGTGCCGCTGATTTCTTACCTGAAATTGCCTGCAATGTGTATAGGAGTCTTGTTCTTGAAGGAGTAAATCTGGCTGTGATTTTTCCTGGCAGAGGTTGTTTCCAATTAGAGGTTGCATTTCACGGCTAAGTTTTGGAAGGCCCTCCAGATTCTGTTAGAAATGTAGGTGCTCGGGGCAGTTAGATGGTACAGTGGATAGAGTACTGGCCCTGGATTCAGGAAGACCTGAGTTCAAATCCAGCCTCAGACACTTGACACTCATTAGGTATGTGACCCTGGGCAAGTCACTTACCCCCATTGCCTAGCCCCACCCCCAAATGGTAACCAGAAATTTAAGGAGCAGTTGGGTGGTGCAGTGGATAGAGCACTGGCCCTGGAGTCAGGAGGACCTGAGTTCAAATCTGGCCTCAGACACTTGACATGTACTAGCTTTGTGACCCTGGACAAGTCACCTAACCTCACTGCCTACAAAAAAGAAAAGAAAAAAAATGTAAGTGCTCCTTGCAACCATCTACCACTTAATAGGCCGGGGGACATGTGGAGGAGGTCTGCATTTGTTACTTTTCTATGGCGCATTTGCAGCAGAACTTTGATATATACCTATTTGATAGTTTTTTTTTAAAAGAAGGATGTCATTCTCGTTGCCCCAGGGAAGTTCTCATTTCAGGCAGGCTTTAGGGTATAGCTCATATCTTTGTCTTGTCAGCGTTCTGAAGCCCTAGTGACTGCCTGCCTTGGCAGAGGAGACGTGCACATTCTATGGCCCCAAATCCAGAGCATTCTGCTGTGATCATGAGACTGGAAAAAACAGCAAGGGAACAGGCAAAGAATAAAGGCCATTTATTGGACCCTGAGGGCCAGGTCCACATGTGTATCTTAGTATGGAGACCCTCACAGGGTCAGGACAATAGGTCCTTAGGCTCATTAATGACCACCAAGCATTGAAAACTATTCATTGTTTCACATCTCCTGCCTTAAGCCAACCTTTGTATGATGATATGAATGACAAGCTCCCATTTGTGTGGGGTTGCATGAAGAATTAGGAGGACCTTCATGTCTTGGATTGTACATAGTAGCTTTACTTTGATACAAGGAGGATTAGTATTTCATGTATGAATACTAGGAGACATGGCTTGAGACAGCTCCTGCACATTTAAGCTTCCCCAGCTTGGTCACTGGGCCTTGCTAAATGAAGTAGCTATTTCAGTCACTGGTTAAATTACTGAGTCACATTATCTGGTCAGAATACTGAGCTGGGCTCAAAACCTGGGCTGCCATAATCTTTCCTTCTTGGTGCCTTCATGAAATGCCAGTTCCCCAATGCCTTGGTTTTTCCCAGGGCTTTCCTTGGCTATCAAATTGGGACATGAATATAATTACTCATAAATATCTCATGGCTCAGGCCCTTTTCCACTGAGATTCAAATACCCTCTCCCCTTTTGCATGAGTCCTGAAAGGGTTACTTATTTACATTTAGTTTAAATGGATTCTTGTCACAGTGAAGAAGACATCAACGGCATCAGCTTTAAAACTTCAGAGAAGTGGGTCATGTCTTGTTCCCAGCAAGGTCTGAAACTTCAGTTTCTGCTGCCCAGTTTTCTACCTGTGTTGTTTTTCAGACATTACCACAGACTCTCTTGGTAGGGGATCACAACCACACGCCTCACTCCCCCCAATAAGGCATTTTTGTCTTAAAGATAACAGGCGTGGGGTGGTCTCTTTCTTACCACCATTTGCTCCTGGAATAAGTGCCACTTGCTGCCCTCTTAAATTCTTTAGGGTCCTTTTAACTCCCAGATAGATGAAGTCGCTGATGAATCATTCACAGACTGGTCACCAGAGGTGAGATGGCCAGGTGCCGTCTCAGCATATTCCCTTACTGGTCTCTGGCATCTCTCTGGTGTCCTTCCCCAAAGCCCAGTGATTCTTCACGTGTCTCCCACATAGGGGTGTCTTGGAATGATCTCGGGAACTGTTTGAGGAGTCCTAAGATTAGCAAAAAAGTCAATAAGGACTCTAAGCTAGCTGAGAAGCCTTAGCAAGCCTCTGTGCATTCCTTTTGTCTGTGTTTTGGCTGGTCACCCTACCTGCTGAGAATGGCAGGAGGGGGCAGAGGGAGTGTGGCCTGGGTGCTCCTCAGGGATCATGTCAATCTGTGACAGTGGCCATGCCATTTCTTTCCTCTAGAGCCAGGCATGTTACACCTGGGGAAGGGTTTGAGACAACCTGGGTGTCAGGATCGGCAGACAGCTGTGTGTCCAGCTGAGACCACACTTCCCTCCTAAGAAGGCTGCCCGGCTGGGAACTGGGGACAAATAACAAAAGCAAACTGGGAATCCCTTCATAAAGGCAGCTGTTTGTTCCCATCTCAGGCCCTACTGCTAACCCTGCCTGCCTCAATGGTGTCCCCTTTGACTTCTAGGTTTGTGGTCTACACCGGAACCTCCTACGTACTTCTGGGAGAAGGTTCATCCTCCCGGGGAGCGCCGGTCACCTCAGTATTCTATAGGCTACCGCTGTCCATATCGTGTATCTGATCCTAACCCAGCCCCTAACTATTACCCACAGCCCCGACGGCTGGGGTATGGCACCCCTGTTAACCATTCTGCCCCATGCTACAGCTTTGCTACCACTTCTGACCTGTGGCATTTCAACAAGGATATCTACAGAAGCCCTGGCCCGGCCACGTATACCAGGCCTGAGCCATCAGTTTACCAGAACCGGAGCCCTCTCTACTCCATGGGCAAGCTCTTTGGGTACCCGCATGACCAGACAAACTACCCAGGTCCTGGTTCCCATGAGGTGCAAACAGTCACCCTTCATAAGCCCCAGGCACCTTCCTTCTCGATGGGCATCAAACACTCACCTCACCTCACTCCACTGATCGTGGATGTGAAGGACTGATCCTGCCCTTCCCCTTTCCCACCTCACCTTGAGTCCTTTCCTCCCTCCTCCTCGTGATTACAGGACAGGAGTAGAAGGGGCCTGCTTAAATAATTTGATAGCCTTTCTTCAAGCTATGCTGTGCCCAGTGCCAGTTTATTGCTGGGCATCTCTTAAGCTGTAGCCCCTGCCCAATAATCCCTCTCAATTAGGCTAAGAAGGATCTCCTTTCCCCCTCAAAATGTATTTTTTCCTTAAATAAAATTGACCTTGAGACAGTGGCAGAAATAGTCTCATCGAGTGCCTGGCACACAGAAGACCCTAAATAAAGATTAGTTGAATGAATGAATAAAGAGATGAAAGAGTGAATAAATAAGTGAATGAGTGAATGGATTTGAGTAAGGCCAAGGATTTCATGCCAGGGTTCAGTATTTGATGATTACTGTCCATCTCCTTGTGCTTTTCCTTGATTATATTGGTCTGAACCCGATCTAACTGGGGGGCTTATTGGTAGCCTGAGATGGACACCTAGACCAGAGCTACAGGGTCACAAGTGGACCACTGCAGAAGTGTATTTGTAGGGGTTTGTGTATGTGCACATAAAGGAGCAGGGAATATACCATATGCATTTGCGTATGCTGTGTTAAGTATGGGTCTGCACCTTTGTGTGTCTCTAGGGCTAGCTTGGGGCAAAGTTGTGAAGTCCTGTTCTTGTTTTCTTGCTTTGAATTCCCTCTCTCCTCTGTTCTCCCTTAAGGCCCCTTGTCTGAAAAAAAAAAAGTCTCTGACAAGATTCTTCCCCTTTAACCCAGGCTGTAGATTCCATGATGAGACCCATCATGAGGACAGGTTTTGGGATCAGGGAGTCTGGAGAGGACAGGGCTGATCCAAAAGGGAGGATATTGCAATGGGAGCGGGGGAGATTATCAGGAGCGGTAGCTGGTGCATGTGTAGTGGGGCATTTGGGGGCTTCCTAAGGCTCTTTCACAGGGTTTCTGGGGGCCAGCCTTGCCTGCCCCACCATGACTTTCCTCAACATATATGACTGTCCTTGGCCTCATTTGGCTAGTGCTGCAAGAACCAGGGCCTGGCACTGTCTATGAGAAGCCCCAGGTGTGCCAATTCTTTCTCCAAGAAGTGGCAGCTTCACCCTTCCCTTGCTGACAGTGTGACCGGGTCCCAAAGCTCATTGTTTTGGGACTCTCTTCTCACTGGTGGAGATCAACGCCCTGCACATGGGTGAGGGGGTAGGGTGGAGTTGGAGAGGTGAGAGATTCATTGACTTTGCTTCAGTCTCTTCCGAGCTTGGCAGTTGCTTTGGGGATTTCTGGCTTCCAGCTTTGAGAGAGAAGATGGACTATTCTGACCCTACTTCAGCTTGTCTGAAGGGAGAGTAAGACTGGGAAGAAGCTGATGCGAAAGAAGCCAGGAGTCTCCATCATGTCCCTACCCCCAGCTTGTCACACTGAGACTTGGGGAAATTTCCTCTTGGGTGAGATCTGGGACACTCTATTGGTTGAGCTGAGTTACCTTGTTCTCTACAGGAGAGTTTCTTCAATCTATTATCTGGCATGTATTCTATGTAAACTTTCTCTGATTTCTTGCTATCAACTCTTTTTTTCTTTTCATTTTCTTTCTTTTTGGCTAGACAATGGGGTTAAGTGACTTGCCCAAGGTCATACAGCTAGTGTCAAGTGTCTGAGGCTGGATTTGAACTCAGGTCCTCTTGACTCCAGGGCCAATGCTCTATATACTGTGCCACCTCGCTGCCCCTATCAACTTTGACAAATGGGTTTCTTTGCTATTTGCTGTGTGTGTTCATTGTAGAACTGGTATTTGGTGGGAAGGGAATCCTCCTTTCCCTATGAATGAAGAAGGATCAGGAATTTAGCTTGAACCTGAAAATCACATCCTCTAGATGCTCTCTACTTAAGAGAGCAGATAGATACAATTTTAACCTGCTAGTCCCTCTCTCTGAGAAGAACAAAGTGGTCATTTCTGCCTCCAACCCTCTGCTTCTCCTGGCAGAAAATAGTCTCCCTTAGAGAAGGGGATGGAGAGAAGAGGCTGGGGATGTCTATTATTGCTTCCCTGGGAGACATACATGAAGCCTGTGCTACACCTGTATGGAGAGCATCATCAGCTCCTTCCACGTCTGTTTCTTCCCCCTTTCCCTCCCCCGTACCCCACCCTGTTTTTTTTTTTTTCCCTCTGAGCTGGTGGCTCTGTAGCTAAAGCACTGGACTCAGAGTCAGAAAGACCTGAGTTCAAATCTGGCCTCAAACCTTTACTAACCATGTGACCCTGGACAAGTTAATCGCCATTTGCCTCAGTTTCCTCATCAGTAAAATGGGGATAATAACACCTACCTCCCAGGGTTGTTATGGGCAAATGAGACAATTTTTGTAAAGTGTGCACTCAGCACAGTGCCTAGTATTCACTCAGTAAATGCTAATTCCCTTCTCCTTTCTTATATATATATATTTTTCCTGTTTCTGATTATCTCTGGCCCTCTTGTTCATTCATTTGTCTCTTTTTCTCTGGATCTCTATCTCTGTTTCTCATATGTTTCTCTTTCTCTGACTTTACTTCACTCTCTTCTGTGTCTTTGTCTCTGTCTCTGTCTGTCTCTGTCTCTTTCATTTCCAGTCTCCTTTCTATCTCTGTGTGTGTCTTTGTGTCTCTTTCTTTTTCTCATTTTGACTCCTCTCTCCTGTCTCTACCACTCTTTCTTTTTTTCTCTCTCAATCTCCTGTCCCCATTGTTGGCACCATCCTTCCCTCCTTCTGGGGGATGGCAGGAACCTGAGAAGAAGAGAATTTCTGTGGGAAGAAGGGACCTTGAAATCTCTGCTTAGGGTCTGAGGAAGGACAAATATTTGAGTTAACATGAAAGATTAGGAATTTGATCCCAATGAGAGTCACTTCTCCCTACCACTGGTTGGTATGGGAAGCACAGAACTACAGAAAGTTGAATTAGCTAGCTGTATGACCTTGAATAAGTCATTTCCTTCCCATGGGCTCCAGTTTTTCTATTTGTAAATTAGGTTATTGGACTAGATAGACACAATGCTGTCTTTTTAAAATTCAATTTTATTTTGAGTTCCAAATTCTATCCCTCTCCCCTCTTCTTCCCCAACTCATTGAGAGGGCAAGAAAAATAAAAATCATTCTAAATATGTATAGACATGCAAAATAAATTTCCTCATTAGCCATGTTCCAAGAAAAAGAAATAGAAGAAAATTTGCTTCAATATGCACACTGAGTCTATCAGCTCTCTTTCTGGATGTGGAAAACATATTTCATTATGAGTATTGAAATGGTGGTTGGTCATTATTTTTGATCAGAAGTACTAAGTTTTTCCGGGCTGATTATGTTTACAATATTGCTGTTATTATAAAAATTGTTCTCTTGGTTCTGCTCACTTCAATCTGCATCTGTTCATACAAGTCTTTCCAAGCTTTTCTGAAACCATTCCCTTCATAATTTCTTACTAACAGTAGCATTCCATCACATTCATATTCCATAATTTGCTCAGCCATTCCCCAATTGATAGGTATCCCCTCAGTTCCCAAGTACCGAATTGTTTTTTTTTTGAGATCTAGTACTGCTAAGCCCCCTTCTCTTTGTTTTTTTTTTCATTGATTTCCTTGATATTCTTGAACTTTTGTTTCTCCTGATGAATTTTCTTACGATCCCTGCCTCCCCAGAAACCAACATTTTGGAGTGGGCACTGACCCCCTACCTTCTCATCACCTGGAACCCAAGAAGCCCAAGCAACAAATGAGGACGATAGGGATCAAGACACTAATGGGCCTATTCCCTTGCAGTGATCTTTTCTGGGAGCTCCATGGTGCCTAGTGACCTTGGGAGTCAAGTTGATGGGTGGGCAAGAGGAGGAAGGGAAGAGAAGGGAAGCTTAAACTTCCATTTATTGTTTTTTAATTTTTTTTTTTAGGCAACTGGGGCTAAGTGACTTGCCCAGAGTCACACAGCTAGTAAGTGTCAAGTGTTTGGTCTGAGACCTGATTTGAACTCAGGTCCTCCTGACTTGACGGCCGGTGCTCTATCCACTGCGCCACCTAGCTGCCCCTAAACTTCCATTTATTTCACCTGTAGTGACTGAAAGCCTATAGCTCTCAAGTGGAGAGATAAGGCACAAGGGTACCCTAAGTTAGGCATGAAGATGGTTTCTTCTGTGAGATTCCTCTCTATCCCAATATTTCTCACCTTCTCTATCTGCTTTGATCACGTAACCATTTCTTCTTAGGTTTGAGTTTCTCCTTGTTGTGGGCCAGGACATTGGTAGAACTGGTGGGGAGGAGTGAGCGAACTCCACACACTCCCACAATTCCAGCCAGCACTGTGTAAGCAAAGGAAGTTAACTTTGTCCTCAAGTAGACTGATTTGGAACTTAGGGGAGGAGAATGAAAGTAGTTTGGGAGATTTTTCCAGGGAGCTCCTGAACCTCTGGGCTTGCTGCTTTTTAACCTTCTGGCCAGCCAGCTTTTATTTGCCTTTATCCCTTGGACTTCTTGTAAATTTCCTTGAGAATTGCTTCCAGCTGAGGGTGTTGGAATATGATATTAGTAAAAGAACTATTTGTTTAAGCCTTCTGGCTCTGAGTGATCCATTGTACCAGATGCAAGACAGCAGCCCCAACACTTTTCAAATCCCATGCCCTTCCTTTCTCTCTGACTTTTTGTATCTCTTTGTCTTTCAGGCTTTCTGCGTCCCTGTCTGAGTCCTTCAATGTCCTTTTCACTGTGTGCCTCATATGCATTCATAAATTTGTTTTTTTTTTCCTATAGATACTCAGTCCCTAAGTCTGAATATTATCCCACTTCCTGGTACTTGGCCCCTACCCATGATATTCCCAATTACTAATTATTGATACCCTCCTACTCCCTAGGATTCATTCCCAATTCCTAATGCTCCCCATCCCTGATATACCCATCTCTCATGGTCTCATCTCATCCCTGAGTTCATTCCTGGGTCTCCTTTCCCATTTCTGATATTAACCTTCACCCTTGGTATTCAGCCCCTGATCTCTGGTACTTATTCCTTCTATTTCTGATTGATAATTCTGCTGGGCTTGGACCTGGGCCGAACGCACCTGGAGCATTATGTTACATTCTGGACGTAATTTTAATTTTGATGATATGGGGATCGGAGACCTTGTCATACAAGGATTAGCTGAAAAAACTGGGGATGTTTGGCTTGGAGAAGAAATTGGGAGCGATATGCCAGCTGTCTTCAAATATCTCAAAGGTTATCAGGTG